TTAAGTAGGTCATGTGACCATAGAGGAAATGCATAAGTAGAAGGTAGCATCATGTCTAAAGGATCTTCATTTCTAGTCTATCCTCTATTACTATTTGGATCACTATTCTCTACTCTGTTCACTATACTATTTCTCTTTTCAGATCATTATATGGATTACTGTTCGAGCAAGTATCATCAAGCAATTACTATTAATGTCAGTACTATTCGAAGGCATCTGACACCAGCATTGTTCAACACTGCACTATAGTTGTATATATGATTACCAAGTCTCTACTACAAGGAGAAATACGAAAGTGACAACAAGTATTTGTTGGCATCACAAAAATGGCAATGAATGTTTGTTGACATCACAAAAATACTGTTGATACATCTGGTTTGGTGTTTCTGCTGTATATCTTGAGATTCTTGACAAAATCCAAAGAAAGTCTGTAATCAATCCTGACTTGGCATTTTGAACATCTTGACTTCAGTCACTTTCTCACTGTCTTTTCTATAAGTATTTCCATGGCAACTGCTCTGATGAGTTTTTTCCCTGACTACATGAATCTAAGCATTCTATTAGATTGGCACAACTAGTTCCCACTCTTTTACTGTTGAAATTGCTAAATGCAAGCACCACTTCTACTTCAACAATTTTTCTCACACTTCTCATCTGTGGAATTGCTTTCCATTTCTTTGCTTCACTGATAACTACAGTCTTCAAGTGCAACATCAGTTGCCATCTTCTGTCTTCTTGAACCCTGTTCATTTTTTGTCATTCCTTCAATTGTCCTTATTCCCAGTCTTATTCTGTTTCATTTTCATTCCCTATAACCCCCTGCATTCTAGTGGTATTACTGCCTTGCTTGGAGTGAAATGATTAAAAAAAGTTCATACCACTTTTCATATTTTAATGTTTTTGTATGTCTATATTACTAAGATGAGGTATTACGTACACTATTTACATTATTCAGACTATTGTCATCATCTTTGTTGCCATATCTATCACAACGTTTCCTCAAGGACACATGGCACAGTGGATAAATGCATTAGTTAGATCCAGTGACAGGACCCAAAGAATGTGAGTTCAATAATAGTGGAGAACTTGGAGAGGGGAATTAACAGGAGATAACTGATAACAGACATCCATTAGATAAGGCACGTGAAATTAGAACAGTCTACCCCTGCGAGCGAAATAAAGGGTTCAGTCCAAAACATTGTGATAAATATGGTAACAAAGATGAGGACAATAGTTTGAATAATGTAAATAGTGTTTAATGTTTTTTTTTTAAATGAGTAATTGTCTATATACTTTTATTATTTTGAACTAATCTTCTCATCTTGCTTGAGAGAGATGTTATTAGTGTTGTCTAGCGGTTGAATGTTCAATCCCTGGTTTAGGTAGAGAAACACTGGTTAAACAGAAGTGAACAATAACAGACATCACTGGACCAAAATAAAACAATAAGGAAAAGATATTCCCTTTCAGAGAAACAAAGAACACTTGTCTATCAACATAAGATATGAAGATGACATAATATTGATAGCAGAAAGAAAAAAAAAACACTACAAGGACAGCTGCAGAAGGTAGAGAATGAAAGTGAGAAGAAAGGACTAAATGATAATTGCTAGAAGACTTTTAACTCAAGGAACATTCCAACATGAAAATTACAGATCAGAAATACAAAAATCAAACAAGTGTAATAATTTAAATATCTGGGAAGTGTATTAAAAGAGGCACATTGGGATAATAAAAGTTGCCTTCCAAAAGCCGAGTAAAGTATTAAGAAATTGAAAAATATTGTTAGAAAAGACTACCAAATAGTTATATAGTATCAGTCCTCTTATATGGCAGTGAATGATGGGCAATCTCATCACTGATGAAGTAGAGACTTGAAATAACAGAAATGTGGTTCTACAGAAGGATGCTTAGAATATTGCGGGCTGATCATGTGAACAAAAATGAAGTTCTAGAGGAAAAAAAAAGACACTGATGCTTAATATCAGGAAGAGATAGTTGAAATTTCTGATGAAAATAATGAGGAAAGAGGGCTTGGAAAGTCTGATACTCACTAGATATATTAATGGTAAAATGTGCAGAGGAAAGCAATGCACAACAAACCTGGTGAGCTTGAGAGCATGGAAGGTGAAGAAAAGTTTGGGAGAGATGACAAAATGACAAAAGTTATTAAGAACTACAAAAACAGGAAATTGTAGAGAGATGTGATCACCAATGTCCTGAAGGTATATGGTATATAGAAGATGAAGACATTTTTCATAGTTCTTTATATCATAGCTTTTGAAAAAAAACCTTTTAAGCATTTAGAATTTGCTTTATTTTACATTAAAAGTTCTCTTACTTCTTTTGCTTTAAATTCTTCAAAAAGATTTCTTGAAGTTTGTTTGCAGATTGGCAAACAAGTCCAATCTCAGTTTGACAAGGAAGTGACTTGGAATGGTCATCTTATGATTAGACAAGATAATGGTTGCAAGAACAACTTGAAAGAAGATCAGCACATCAACAGAAAGAATGACAGATTAATGAACATTTGGCTTTCACTATCCAAAAATTAACCAATGTCTTGGAGGTATTTGCTGATTACCAAAATAGCCTTTTTGAATGATGGTACTAAAGATAACATTGTCCAAAAACTCAATTAACAAAGTGACTTATTGGAAAAGGTTTTGGATTGGATGGCTCAAAAAGAATTAGTAAAGCTTCATTTATTTTTATTTGTATTCATTGGGTTTTCACACCAATTGTATCCAGTGGTATCTTGTGGCATTTTAATACCAATAGAATCTATTGGCTTTTAAAGAAAAGAAAATGATAGCAAGTTTTCTCAAAACATCAGCACTCTCCTCGGCATTATTTATTATTATTTTAATCATTAAATTTTAAAACTAATATTAACTGATGGCTTTCACTGAAGATCAAATTAGAGCATATCTTCTCAGTATTCCAGCACTCTCCTCAGTATTCCTTATTATTATTTTAATCATTGAATTTCCTACCAGTTCTATCTGGGGGCTTTTGTTGAAGATCAAATGAGAACAAGATTTTTGAATACACAACAACTCTCCTCAGTATTCTTTATTACTATTTCATAATTGACTTTTCATTCCAGTCATATCTGGTGTCTTTCACTCAAAATCAAATGAGAGTAAGTCTTCTCAATATTCCAAAACACACTTCAGTATTCTTTATAATTATTTTCATCATTAACTTTTCCTACAATGCTCCAGGACTCTCCTCAGTATTCTTTATTATTATTTTAATCATTGACTTTTTCTATCAGTGGTATCTGGCGTAATTTACTGGAGATGAAATGACAGCAAGTATTCTATTCTCAGTGTTTTTTATCATTATTATTATAATCCTTGATATTTACTGCCAGTATTATATCATGGATTTCTGTAAAGATTAAATAAGAGCATGTCTTCTCAATGCTCCAGGACTCTCCTCAATATTCTTTATTATTATTTTAATCATTGACATTTCCTACAAGTCATATCTAATGACTTTCAATTTAATGAAATGAGGGCAAATCCCAGCACAATATTCTTTATTAATATTTTAATCATTGATCTTTTACACCAGTCGTGTCAGGTGGCTTTCACTAAAGATCAAATGAGAGCATGTCTTCTCAATCCTCCAGAACTCTTGTCTGTATTCTTTTGTTCTCCTGTTAATTTTAAACATTGACATTTCCTACCAGTCATATCTGATAGCTTTCAAATAAGATCAAATAAGAGCAAGTCTCAAAAATTAAGCACTCTCCTTAGTATTCTTTACTTTCATTTTAAACATTGATTTTTTGCACCGGTCGTAACTGGTGGCTTTCACTGAAGATCAAATACCAGGACATCTTCTCAATACACCAGCACTCTCCACAGTATTCTTCATTATAATTTTAATCATTGACTATTCCTACAAATCATATATGGTGGCTTTCACTGTATATCAAATGACAGTATATCTTCTCAATTCTCCAGCAGTCCCCTCAATATTCTTTAATATTTTGTTAATCATTGACTCTCCCAACTAGTACAATCTGGTGGCTTTCACTGAAGATGAAATGAGAGCAAAATTTTTGAATGCTCCAGGATTCTCCTCAGTATTCTTTATCATTATTTTAATCACTGACTTTTCTTATCTGCCATATCTGGTGCATTTCACTGATGATCAAATGACATCAAGTCTTCTCAATACTCCAGCACTTGCCTCAATATACTATTATTATTATTATTATCTTAATCATTGAATTTCTTACCAGTCATAGTTGGTGACTTTCACTGAACATCAAATGAGATCATGTCTTCTCAGTACTCCAGCATTCTCCTCGGTATTCTTTATTATTATTTTAATCATTGACTTTTCCTATCTGTCATCTCTTAAGATCAAATGAGTTCAAGTCTTCTCAATACTCTAGCACTCTCCTCAGTCTTGATAAAATTTGCATGTAACTTTTAATGTTTATACTATAATTATTGAGTAAGTGATGCATGTTGATTTTCTTTAATATTACAGAGAAGAGAATTGATGGGCCAAGATCAAATTCCAATGGAGATAATTTGTGTTCCAATAATGCCTTTGAAGAAGTTATAAATCCATCTCTCTTCTACATGAGCTGTGACTAATTTTTCCTTATTTAACGGCAAAGAAAAGATGTCTTTATTTGTCTAATTTTCTATTGCTCTAGTAATATTACCAAACACAATTCTCTCATAAAGAAAGTAACAAAGGTTTATTTGATAGATGCTTCCTTTTACAAAGATGTCTTTCTTTATTTCTTTGTTGTTTCTTTCATTTCAGAAAATTCTTCTTTATTTTTATGTTTTATTCCGAATATTGAGGGGATATTGAATATCTCTTTCTTGAAGAGATATTCAAACTTTGCAACTAAACCTGCAACTGAATTCAAACCTGCGACTAAACTTTATCCCCTATTCCATTTAGGTGAGGATGAAGAACATGGCTAGCAAGCCATTAGGAAGAAATGGTCTACTAAAGCATGAATGACCTTGATCTTCTTCTACTTCTACTCTATCTTCTTCTTCTTCTTCTTCTTCTTCTTCTTCTTCTTCTTCTTCTTCTTCTCTTTCTTCTTCCCCTTTTCTTCTTCTGCTCTTTCTTCTTCCCATTTTCTTCTTCTTCTGCTTTTCTTCTTCCCCTTTCTTCTTCTTCTTCTTCTTCTTCTTCTTCTTCTTCTTCTTCTCTTTCTTCTTCCTCTTTTCTTCTTCTTCTTCTTCCCCTTTTCTTCTTCTGCTCTTTCTTCTTCCCCTTTTCTTCTTCTTCTTCCCCTTTTCTTCTTCTTCTGCTCTTTCTTCCTCCCCTTTTCTTCTTCTTCTCCTTCCCCTTTTCTTCTTCTTCTGCTCTTTCTTCTTCCACTTTTCTTCTTCCACTTTTCTTCTTCTTCTTCTTCTTCTTCTTCTTCTTCTTCTTCTTCTTCTTCTTCCATGTGACATGTCCCTTCAAGAAGTGTGCAATCATAACTATCCAGTATTTCCCATCCTCTGTAGCCTTTCCCATCACTCCCACTCACTGTTCTGCCATCAATTTACAAGCTATAGTTAGGTAGGTTACATGCAGCTTTACCCTGTCCCTCTTGCCTTCAATATATCCTCTGAGTGTCGAATTCTCTGAGACTCCTTTTCTCAATGTCTCCCCAATAAAATTTGTCTCTTTCTTATTTTAATTATAAGTACACTTTTTGTATCCATTTTCATAAAAACTTCATCATTACTCACATGTCCAACCTTCTGAACATCTTTCTATCAAACCAAATTATTATTTCCTCAAGTCTCTTCTTCAGCTATGCAGAGATTTTCCAGCATTCACTGCCATATATTATATAGCTGTTCAGTACTCTTTTCGTTACAATTAGTGAAGTCAAAGGTGAAGACAGTTTGCAATCGCTGTTGAGAACAAACTCGAAAATGCATACTTTAGAAAGAAAGCTGTAGTGAACCATAGAGAACGAGATATAATATCAAGATGGGATACAGGCTAAAAGCATTGAGAACACAATATGCCTTGCATATACTGTACACCTTATAAACCTTCTTAAGACATAATTATATGCCTACGATTACAAAAATATATTAGAGATTCTTCTTTTAGACCATGACCAGAAAAAGGACATTTTCCGTGAATCAAAAATAAACAGATGAAATTACCTTATGACATATAATGAGGATAGAGGGCTTGGAGAATTTGACACTCACAGGATAAGAGAAGGCAGTGGTCTACCTATTTGGCAAGCTTTTGTTAATGGATAGCAGAATAAGAAGTGGGATGGATAGTAGAAAAAACAAATGTTTTAAAGAATTACAAAATTTAGGAAGTTGTGGAGAGCCATGATCACTCATATCCTGAAGGGACACGTTTATGCAGAAGGAGAATATCAGTTCATGTTAAAAGGAACCGATGTGGTAAATATCAATCATTAAAGGGTTTTATCTAATTTTCTATTGCTCTAGTAATATTACCAAACCCAACTCTCTCATAAAGAAAGTAACAAAGGTTTATTTGATAGATGCTTCCTTTTACAAAGATGTCTTTCTTTATTTCTTTGTTGTTTCTTTCATTTCAGAAAATTCACCTTTATTTTTACGTTTTATTCCGACCTTTCATTTCTCAGCTGACTTAATTTTTAATCATTATCTCCCGTTTCTGATTTTTTCTCCCTTCTTTCTTTCATTTCATATTTTATTTCTTTTCTTCTTCTTCTTTATTTCATTTAATATTTTTCTTTCTTTCTTTCATTCTATATTTTGATTTTTTCAGCTTTTTTCATTTTTTATATCATACTAGCAGTAGAGCCCGGCATTGCCTGGGGACAGTAACAGTAAGAGATAGATCAAGTATCAACCATCGTAAAGACTGAAAAATAAAATTGACAAAGATTATTGTTTAAGGTTGACAGACATGCATGTCTTAATTAGTTTTTTTTTTTTTTTTATGAATTGGTCAAACCCAAACTCAAACAAAAACATTGTTTTCAATCGTTATGAGTCTACCGATTGCATAGAATTTTATTATAAACAATTGTCTTGTAAATGGAATTTTTAAAGCATTCTGAATGTAAAAATAAAGAAAAAAGTGTGCAAGACAATAAGAAACACTACCTGCCAAAAGAAAAGTGAAGTTTTGTTGAAATCAGTTAAAAAATGTAGGAAATCCGATCCCATATATAAATCAACACACACACACACACACACACAAACAACCTGGGTTTTATAATAAGTATAACTCGATATGAGTTGTCCGCCTTTCATTCACGTGATGCCTCTTAATCATGTTTTTAAATTGATTTCATGCAAAAACAATTGTGTTTTTCCAATTTTTGGCGCTGTCAGAACCACCACAAGGTAATTTTACGTAGTCCTGTGAAGTTTTGTTGAAATCGGTTGAAAAGTGTAGGAAATATATCCAATATATAAACGTACACACACACACACACACACACACACACTACCTGGGTTTTCTCAGTATGATTTGTCTTAACATAGCTTTCCTTCCTTCTTTCATTTCCCCCTTATTCCTCACTTTTTCCTTCCCTCTTTCCTTCCTTCCTTTCACACCTATTTTATTTTTATTTTATTTTCTTCCTTTTTTCATTTGAACACATTCCCCATTCCTTCCTTCTTTTTTTTCCTTTTTTCCTTCCTTCCTTCCTTCCTTTCAAACCTGTTTTACTTTGTTTCCTTCCTTCTTTCATTTTCCTATGTTCCTCACTTTTCCTTCTTTCTTTCCTTCCTTTTTCTTTCCTTCCTTTCTTCCTTTCTTTCTTTCCTTCCTTCCTTCCTTCCTTCCTTCCTTCCTTCCTTCCTTTCAAACCTGTTTTACTTTGTTTCCTTCCTTCTTTCATTTTCCTATGTCTTTCACTTCCCCCTTCTTCCTTCCTTCTTTTGTTTCCAAATTCTCACCTCCTATCCTTCCTTTCCTTCTTTTTTTATATTCACTTTTTCCTTCTACACTTCATTCTACCTTTCATATTTTACCTTTATTTTCTCCTCTTTTTTTAACTTTCAATTCATGTTTGTATTTATATTTTCTTTCTTTTTTCTTTTTTCTTCTTCTTTCACACTTTTCCCCCACCAGTGATAAACACTTTTTTCTATTATATCTGTTCTCTATTTCCTTTTTCCTTCCACATGTATATCTATATTTCCTTTGTTTTCTCTTTCTTCTTTTATTTTTTATTCCCATCATCTAACATCTAATTGTTTTATACTTTATTTTCTTCTTTTTCCCATTAGTCATTTCTTATTTCCCTTCCATTTTTCCTATTTTATATATTCTTACTTTTCTTCATTTCTTTCCTTCTTTTATCTTTTATTTAGTCCATTACTATAACCCTTCTTCATTTTCAGTCATATTCTGACTTCCTTCTTTCCTACATGAATGCTGTCTTTCTTTTTCCATTCTTTTTTATTTCTTTCAAATATTTCAGCGTTTTTTCTTTCTTAGTATCGTCTTTCTTTTCTTCTTCCATTCATTCCTTTACTCATTTGTTCTTTTTTCCTTCCATTCTATTATATTTAGTCTTTTTCTTTCTTTATTTCCCATACATCATTTTTTCTTTCTTTTTTATTATTCCTCCCTTTTTAAACTTCTTTCTTTTCCTTTTTTTCTATTCTAAGTCCCTTTCTGTTAAGTTTCTCTTTCTCATTTTCCTTCTTTTCTTCCTCCTTCTTTCTTTCTTTCCCATTCTATAATCCATCATATTTTTGTTTTCTCTTTTTCAATTCTTATTTTCCATTCCTTCTTTTTTCTGTTCCTTTTTAACTCTTTCTATTTTATCTTTCATTATTCTGTTTTTTCCTGTTTTTTCTTTCTTTTCCGTTCTACTTTCCTTCCTATCTTTTCTTTCTCTTTTCTATTCTTTTCTCTTCTTTTTTCTTTCTTTATTTCTGTTTTTCTTTCTTTCTTTCTACTTCCATTCTTATTTTATTGCTACCATTTCCATTTTTCCTTCATTTCCCTTTTCTTTCTTTCTCTCTTTGTTTGTTTGTTTGTTTCTTTCTTTCTTTCTTTCTTTCTGTCTTTCTTTCTTTCTTTCTTTCTGACTTTCTTTCTTTCTTTCTTTCTCATTCCTTCTTTTTTCTATTCTCTTTTACCTGTTTTTATTTTATCTTTCTTTTTCCTGTTTTTTCTCTTCTTTCTTTTCCATTCTACTTTCCTTTCTATATTATCTTTCTCTTATCTATTTTTTTTTCTTTTCTTTCTTTCTTTCTTTCCCATTGTACATCCATTTCTTCTTTTTTGTATTTTCTTTTACCTTCTTTTCTATGTTATTTTTCTCCTTCATATTCTTTTTTCTCCTTTCTTTTTCATATTCTTTTTCCCCTTTCTTTCTTTCTTTCTTTCTTTCTTTCTTTCTTTCTTTCTTTCTTTCATTCTTTCTTTCATTGTTTCTTTCTTTCTTTCTTTCTCCTTCTACTTCCAATCCTATATTATTGCTCCATTTTTCCATTTTTAATTCTTTTCTATTTTCTCTTTTTCTTTCTTTCTTTCTTTTCTCTTCTACTTCATTTCCTATTTTATTGCTTCTTTTCTCATTTTTACTTCCTTTGCCTTTTCTTTTCATTCATTTTTTTCTTTCTTTTGTACTGCTGTTCTTATTTTAATTTCCTTCATTTCTCTTCTTTCTTTCATTCTTTCTTTCTTTCTCTTCTACCACCTCTACTATTCTTCCTTCATTTCTATCACCATTCTTCATATATTATCTTTCTCTTTCACATTCTTCATTCTTTTTATGTTCCTGTTATTTCTTTCTTTTCCATTCTATCTCCCTTTCTATCTCTCTTGTCCTCCTCCTCCTCCTTCTTCAAATCCTTCCTCTCTTTTATGCTATTTTTTTATTCTTTACTCTTTTTATTATAGATAATTTTTTTCTGTTTACATTTAACTTGCACAACAGAACTTACTTCCCTATTTTTTCAAGTGAATGACTTTACACCCACTAATAAATCAACTAATTGTATGAGAGCAGTAAGAAATCTTCCTCAATTTTGGGGCCTTTTCTTTTACTTTACTTCCTTTTGTTATTGCTTTTCTTTTGACAAACCAATCTTTATTTATTTTAGGGTTATTGATTTGTCAATTAATTAAAACTCGTTAGGAAAAGTAAGAAAACAAAGGTTACAAAGCAACAACAGAAACAATACCAACAATATAACAAAGCAATCATTTCCCAAACTACCAACTGTTTCTCTTGCCATCTATTATCAGCTTTTTAGCAAGACGAAAAACAAATTATATCTTGTAGTGATTTCAAATAAAAGTGAGAAAGAAGCTAAAAGTTGAACAAAAAACAGAAAATGTTTTCTTCAAGCAGACTGAAATGAATGTATGGCTTGCAATATGTAAATGTTGACGTACATCATACAAAGCCATATTTCATTAACAAAAAAGCACTTTAGAGAGTTTAATACAATCTCACAGTAAAATCTGATTAAAAAATTTGATATCTGAATGTCATCATCCCTATTTCTATATCACAACTAAATCTTTCCATCTCACCTTCTGTCACCTTCTCACCATGCTATCTGCAACACTCCATATTTCTCACCCATTTATCACTGTGGCAAACCTACTTTCTGCATCTCATCTTATTTGTTTCTCACCCAACTGTCAACATGGCCAACCTACTTCCTGCATCTCACTCTTATATATTTTTCAGCCAACTATCAACATGGCCAACCTACTTTCTGCATCTCAACATGTGTATTTCTCACCCAACTATCAACATGGCCAACCTACTTTCTGCATCTCAACATATGTATTTCTCACCCAACTATCAACATGGCCAAACTACATTCTGCATCTCACTCTTATGTATTTCTCACCCAACTATCAACATGGCCAACCTAATTTCTGTATCTCAATATATGTATTTCTCACCCGACTATCAACATGGCTAAACTACATGCTGCATCTAACTTTTATGTATTTTTCACCCAACTATCAACATGGCCAACCTACTTTCTGCATCTCAACATATGTATTTCTCACCCAACTATCAACATGGCCAAACTACATTCTGCATCTCACTCTTATGCATTTTTCACCCAATTATCCAAATGGCCAACCAACTTTCTGCATCTCACCTTATGTATTTCTCACCAAAGTAACAGTATTTTACACAAAACTTATCAACTGCATAAAACACTATCTTATCAGCAAGATGCATAAAGTCCATGGACAGAATATTTATTAGGGAAAGAAAAAATACTTGAAAGCAGGAACAAATTCATCAGGGAAGTTTTCTAGAATGAAAGAGGACAACAAGCAATACACAGGAATATTGAAGAACCAGAAATATTAAAATCTGAAATGAAATCGTCATTTTGCAAATTGAACTGAAACAAACAAGCTAGATGATATGAAGTTGTAATACAAATGCTGGCAGCCTTAGATGATTTCAGCATTGACATGATTAGTTACATAATAAAGGAAACATATTGTAAAAACTAAGTAGATCTATTTTCATAATACTACTGAGAAACTAGGTGCAAAATGAATATGAATGTCATTGGAGAATCAGCCTAATGATGAATCAGATAACAAAACTTATGAAAAGAATTCTGATGACTACAGTACAGGTTCCAATGGATAAATTGTTGTCTAAACTACGCAAAAATGAAAATAACACTGACATCTGATTTCAACAGATATATTTACGAGAATTACACAAAAATATTCTGAAATAAATTTATTCAATAAAATTGCCATTTGCTTCAACCATGGCCTCTGGAGGACTTCAGAATCTTCTGCAACTCTTCTGGATGGTCTCTTTGGTAAAAGCTTCCATAATCCTTGCCCTCAGGTCATCTTTGGTGTTACAAGGAGTTTTGTTTGTCTCCCACTTAAGTGCATCCCATACATGATAATGAAGTTTGTGGTAGTCTGGAGAGTTAGGTGGCCAGATGTAAAGGATTGTGTGGGTGCTGAAATTGTCTGGCCTCCATGACTGGGTTCTTCTGCATCTGTGGCATAGGGCAGAGTTCTGTTGCCAGACATAGCGTCTTCCATCAAAGGCAGCATTATTTCCTCAATGCAATAGATGTAGGCCTCTGCGTTGTGTCTGAGGCCCTCACCAACAAATTTGGGAGTTCTTTTCTTATCAGAATGACCTAGTGAGTTTTTGAGCTGCTGTACCTTCATAATTACCATTAAACTCATCCGACTCTCTTGGAATCCTTTGAACTGTCGTCATATTGACACCCAATCACTCTGAACATGTTTGTATTGGAACTTCTGGTGCGAATGCCAAGCAGTACAGCATGCCTTTTCCAAATTTCTGGCAGAGTGAATTGCATCAAGGTGCTCTTTTTCCCCATATGGTGCCCCACTGACACTACTATACTATGCATTTGAAAATATCAAAAACAAACAACATGTGTCTGTGAAATTAAAACTATAACATGGTGAAAATTTACCCATCGCACCCTGTATACTTCTCTTATATCTGCTTCTCTCACTCCTATCTGTTTCTCAACTTATTGTTTACTTCTTACACAACTACATGCCTCTCACCCAACTATCAGCCTCTTACCCAACTATCTGACTCTCACCCAACTATCAGCCACTCACCCAACTATCTGACTCTCATGGTCTTCTGCCTTGCACCTTACTGTATATGTCTCTCCCAACTTTCTGCCTCTCCCCTAATCTTTACCTACATTTCACCTTGTTATTTTCTTCTTGCTCATTTTTATGCATCTCCCCTATTATAAACCACTCCCTCAACTATCTGCCTCTCACCCAACTATCTGCATTTTGCCTTATTCAATATCTTCTCATCCTAATATCTGCATCTCACCCAACTATCTCACCCAACTATCTGCATTTTGCCATATTCAATACATTTCATCCTTTTGCCTTAATATATACATCTCATTCCCAAATATCTATCTGCATTTTACCTTATTCAATACTTTCATCCTAATATCTACATCTCACCCAACTATCTGCATTTTGCCTTATTCAATACTTTCATCCTAATATCTACATCTCACCCAACTATCTGCATTTTGCCTTATTCAATACTTTCATCCTAATATCTGCATCTCACCCAACTATCTGCATTTTGCCTTATTCAATACTTTCATCCTAATATCTATTCATTACTTTCATCCTAATATCTGCATCTCACCCAACTATCTGCATTTTGCCTTATTCAATACTTTCATTCTAATATCTACATCTCACCCAACTATCTGCATTTTGCCTTATTCAATACTTTCATCCTAATATCTACATCTCACCCAACTACATATCTCACACCTAACTATTTCTCAAGTTCAATGTGCATCTTACCTTATCGTTTAATTCTCACCCACCTATCTGCTCTCACCCACCTATCAACCTCTCACCATCCAATCACCTTATTGTATCTCACCCATTTCTTTTGCCTTATTCAATACTTTCCCATCTAACTCACCCAACTATCTGCATTTTGCTTTCATCCTGCCCTTACTATAAGCCACTTGCTCAACTATCAGACTCTCACTCAACTATCAGCCTCTCACCCAACTTGAGTGAGGGTGATTGAATCTCCCTTTCATTGGAACTGCTACCAAACACGTCCAAGCACAATGGTTGGGACGTGAGAAAAGAACGATCATCTCATTTCCAGAAGTGGAGTTTCCTTTTGCATCATGGGAAAATTAAATTCTTTATTTTTGTTATGATTATTTTATTTATTATTTTA